AAATAAATGATGTTACCATTTTATTCTGGACAAACTATCGCTCTTGCTTTATTCAAATTCATAGAGCAGAATCAGTATATGAAAATGATTCTCCATTCTTGTTCCATTGATAAATTATGTAAAGAGATTGAATAATTTATAAGATATCGGGAATTCATCTCGACCAGTCAGTTGATTAGAAATACGATAGGCAGTAATGTTAAGATTTTAGAAATATAGGTGGTAGTATCTATAGCTATGCTACTGCTTCACTTGTTCAAGAGTTGTTTAACTCAAGGGAATACTGACGTAGACGTGATATCTGGCTATCGGTCAAAGCACGCATGAACTGCAGAGCGGTCTATTCCGTAATCCGTACAAAGTGGAGAACTAGAGTTGTCTATTATAATAATAATAATTTGCTTTATTCCAAAAACAGTACTAATGATACAGCAAGGAATTTTCAGCATTCAGTACAATATTGCATCTAATTTACTCAAAAACGACAAAAAAATAAGAAATAATCATTACATAATAATGATAACAAAAACGTTGTTAAAGCAACTATTTAGCAAATTACTGTAAGCAATACGGAGAAAAATATGCATAAAGTATAAAATTATAGTAATAACAACTAAAATAAATAGCAAAGTTACAATTAAACGATAGGAAGGGTGACACCATAAAATTACAGAAAGATGAACAATGAAAGGGTCGATTCACTATGCTAATTACATAGTAACTTATATTTTTCACGTCTAACAGAGTCTTCATCACATAAAATACGGGCTAAATACGGTATTGTACTTAGTGGTTCGAGCATATAACTTCTTATATTGACTTCTCGTCCTACCTGATGAGATACAAGGGGATAGTTGTGAATAAAGGGGGTGCAGAGGTCTGACAGTACGGCCTTTGCCCACTTTGTACAGGAATTTATGTGTCTCTCGACTATAGTATTGGCGAGCTCACGCAGTGGCAAACCACAAGCCCTACTCACAGCATTTAATACCCTTCGTAATATGACATAGTCTTTTTTAAGAAGCCCAGGAAAGATTAATGGAGAACAATAGAGTATAATAGGTAAAATACAGGAGTTTAAAAATTGCAGAACTAAAGGTTGGTTGATACCTTGTTGTCTTAACTTTTTAATGTAGAAGGTAAGACGAAACATTAAGATGTGGGATGACCATGAAAGGTCAGAGAAAAGAACTAATCCAAGGTATTTAATGCATGACTTGGTTACAATTTCAGTACCGTCTATGATACAGGCATCATGGGAACTAACTAGTTTATGTCTTTGACTATAGGTACTTGCGTTCTATCACCCATGTTAGGTGGTATAATAAGGTGAGTGTACAGTGTTATATAAGGTCAATTGATGAGGCTATGAAGTTACACCAATTGAGATGGTTAAGGCATGTGTTACGCATGTTAGGTGACACAATATCAGGTTGGAAAAGAACTGTTAGTGGTGGTCAAACCAAAACTTGGAATCAGACCATGAAATCTTTGACTGTTACAATATGAGCCACGCAGGACTGTGTAGACTTCCTGGTTGGGTTCCTCGGCATGGTAAGACCTAATGACTGGAGACTATGGGCAATATGGCTCAACATTGTCCTTAATGGTGCAGACGTATTCACTGTTTGTGATTTATCATATCCAATAAAACTCTATTGTTCTTCCATATTACTATTCTTTCTTCCTCACATGTCTGCTTGGTATCCGAACCTCATTTTTCTCTTTTGTATGATAAATGGAGTGTGACAGCTCGTCGACCTGCTGTATTTAGTCAGTCAGGGGAATATTTATACAAGTATAATAATTTAAATGCAGTTATACTTGTTTATCAAGTGTCTAGACACATCGAAATAGACAAAATTTATCAACCGATAAGAAAGAATAGTCACACACAAAGGGTCAAAGTTCAAGTCAAAGAAACAATGACTGACAATACAAGTAACCTAGAAGGTGTGAAAACACACAAAAACAACCAATCACGTCCAAGGTCGCCAGGAGAGATGATTAATAAACTCGTGGAGAAATCTAAAAGCTCACCTCAAATTGAAGTATGAGCTGAAGATGTCACCCAGTAGGGTGATGAAAGCTTCGCAAATTAACTATCCAGCTCAGAGAACACAACCACATCAAAATCATCCACCTGAGCTACAAATCTTCTCTATCTTATCAAGTTTAAAATAGAAACATCTTATGGAAGCAACTTGGTGAAAGTACATTACCCAAGACGTCGAAGTTGTTAACGTAACTACTAAAAAAGTCAGCTAACCAAAATCAAACTCTAAATGGACTATGAATCTTTGCTCATCTGTTAAACTGTTATTCTCAAATGGTTTTGATGCTCGTGAGCAATGAATTCTCACTACTGTGTTGACAGAGGTTTGATCGCGCCAAATAACATAGATCAAAAATTAGCAGGTTAATTAAACTCCTAGCGTTAGGCACTTGAATGATTTACGCCTCCTTCAGACTAATCTACAGAGTCAAGAACAACCAACCAAAGACAATACGCCTTCCTCTTCTTTTATATTGCTGAAATCTTAGCCATTCAGTTGGAAAAACTAGAGTTATGTATACAAACGAAAATCATTCAACCACTTCTACTATTATGGCAACAACCGTGTTGATTTCTACTGGCTTAATGTTTATGTGCTCAATTTTCTAATTCCTTATAACTCTTGTATTTCTTTACAACTCTTACATAATTCCATATTTTCTTTCATTTCTATGTACATCCTAATGAAACTCATTCACTGGACCATTCATCATATTACGTAACTTTTTTTCCTTCACGTTCCCAGTGGAACATAGGGCTTTAAGCTTGTGGCTTGAAGTTTCCGTAGTAGTGTTTATTTTACAGGGTGGGGTTGCTAGCCTCATGCCCAACCTTTCCTCTTCACCATCATTATTTCAGGCTTAGCGAGGTAAAGGAGTGCGTCCGCCGGGGACCGAACCCCCGAACATGTGCATGGTCGGCGAGCGTCCTAACTGCCATGCCACCGACATACATATTACGTAACTATAATACACTTATTCAACTTCTTTTATGCATTGACTAACATTAACAACCATGTTATTTTTGATGACTCATTACCACTACTCTATTACTAATCTTTACCCCCTTACCAATTTCTTGTCTGACAAACGTAATGTACACACATACAAAAATAATTATATAACAATTATGAATGCACAGCTAAGTGAAAAGAGACTCTTCGCTAAACTACGTGTTTTGTTTTCAAATAATCTCTGGATGGGGATTATTCATGAATTACTGTAAATATTCTTAAGAAACCTTACTATTTGAACTACTTGATGGAAATTAACACATATCATTGGGAATACACTTCCCACTACATGTTTTGTATGCTTAACCCATCGATCTGAAGTTTACTCTTTGTAAGGTTCGATTGGTCAAATGCCCACAGAAAGAATTAGCAACAAGAAACTCTGGCTGGGAACAAACCAACAGGCAAGAGCCGATTGTTCAACAAATATGTAGGAGAAAATAGAGATGGATGGATCAGGCATACGTTGAGGAGGCCAACGAATGACATGGCGCGCCAGGTCAGCCCTCGAATGGAATCCCAATGGGAAGCGACGAGTGGGTCGTCGGTTCGAGGGTGACATGGATAAGTGCGAGATTATCGGCGAACGTGGACCCTGATGAAGAGGACAGCAGAAAATAGAACAAAGAGGAGATTTGTTGTTGAAGCCCTATGTTCTACTCGGAACCCAAGGGAATAATAATAATATAACATTTTCTATAGTTTGGTTTGTAAGGGTTAGTTATGTTTTTACGAGTAGATCACGGATTGATATCAGTTAGAGAACCATTGAAAACCAGGGAGTACTGGACAGCTGTTTCACCCTAGTTTGGGAATCATCGGCAGTACGCACCCACTGGGACTCGAACCCAGGACCTTCCGGTTACAAGGCAAGCTCGTATTCCATTCAGCCGATGATTCCCAAAACTAGAATGAAACAGCAGCTGTCCAGTACTCCCTGGTTTTTAATGGTTCTCTAACTGATATCAATCCGTGATCAACTCGTAAAAAATAATATAACAGTTCGATTGTATTTCTACCGCATCAGAGTACAATTTTTTAAAATCTCATTTCTCTTTTTGTGGGGAAGAATACAGTGAACTATGAACCAGCTTTACTGACAGATGTTTTGCATGTAATTAGAGCAGACAGTTCTCATTTCTAGATTATATGATATGGATAAATTTAATTCCAGTTGTTAGATTTCGTCATGAACCAACATCATTTAGAGAGAGAACTGAAAACACTGAACACCTTTTCATCTATGTTGAGACTCTCCAGCAGTGCAGCAACACCCATGACTCCATCAAGGATCGAACTCTGAACCTTCAGGTTGCAAAGACCAAGCTCGTCGATCATTTAGCAACTTGGACCGGCATTCAGTGACTCGTGAATTCTAACTTCGCCAATTCGTGATGTAGTGCTACCCTCACCAAATGCCTTTGATGAACACCCACTTCACCTTGATATGGTGGGCCTGACTTCTCACTACAGCCTCATTTGAAAGTCTATAACATTTAATTCTTTGTGTTCGATACATGTAGCTTTTGAGAATCGATTCAAACACCATTCAATATTACTTAGGGTGATCACGTGCAGCAGTGATCAGCTATAAAGGAAGTTGTTTCGATTACCTAATTGGTGTAATCTTCTACTTAGCCTCAAGGTTGCCGGGCTACTTAGTTATTCTCATGAATAGAAAGGTTTAGGCTCTAAACATTCATCAAATCGTAATATTCTTCGATTTGGAAGCTTTTTGTACAGCCGACTGTTCTAGCTTTCGACGATGTTCAGCGTCATTCGATCCTAACTCATTGATTATAGTAGTGTTATCTTTGGAGTTGCAAGTAAACTTGCACTATAAACTTTAGCTTTAAACTCTTCGTGTACATAATCTCAGCAAAGTTCAAGGTACATATTTTTAAAGATAAAATAAGCTGGGGAAACATTTATTTACAATTTGAGCTTTTTAGACCGTGAGTTTCTTTTTTGAAGCCTTTTTAGTCTTATTTGTGTTTTACGCTCCTTTTTGCTAAGCCAAACTGGATAGGTTCCATGTTCATTGCATAATATTTTTGGTAGCTTTTTTGGAACACCTAGGAAAGAGAGAGAGTTAGAAATGAAAATGCACAGGTCTTACTTTGCATTTCAACACAGTTTTCCTCTTGTTCAGTAGGCACTTTATCATTGTCGCTTTTGGTCAGCTCCAACAGGTGTTCTTTCAGTTTTTTGAAGCTTCTTTTGCGTTTTATCGCTCGAAACCGACGCTTCGACTTGCTTCTCATACTTTTGGCCATTGTTAAAGTATCAGGGGATACGTTATGGTATGAAGTAACTAATCAAAAGGCAACCGTAGAGCGCTCAAAGGACGTGTGGTATTCTTTGATTTCTAGAAGTATCTAAAAAGTAAAGGTAAAACTAGAATTTAGAAATGAAAGCTAAAAAGGAAATTAAAAATAGTCAAAATGATTTCGCATCACAACACTTCCTCAAATGCAAAACGAAAAGTGGGGCGTATACATAGTTGCTTACAAAAGACATGGTTTTTAAAACAAGTGTAGTTTAGAAGAAAGAAACTATTCTAATTTATATAAACTTTGATCAAGATTTGACCGAATGGTTCTACAATAATTGGGCTCCGAGTGAGAAGTAGACCTATGTGAAAATTACATTTGTAAAATCTCTGCGTAATTGAAATAAATTATCCTAAGGTTTTGTTCGACAAACTGGTTCGAACTTCGAGGAATTGAATAAAAACTAAATTGACAGTAATAAGGCCACATCTTGTCCTTAAAATCCTTGTCCAATCATGTGATTCATGAATAAACATGAAAACAAAACAAGCATGAACTGTGCACTCGATGGTAACGAGTTGAGCATGTTGAACGCTTCACTTATGGTAACTTCACTTCGAAGTTATGCAGTTATTTTAAGGGTTTATATATACAGTGTTAATTGGCAACAAAGCTCAGAGGTTTGTCAGTTATTAACAAAACAAATCAGTTTGTGAGAAATAACGTGTAAAAGATAGTGACTAATCTTACTTAATCTAGAGGGTTGACAACTAACTGGTTAAGTGACAAATAATTAGCAATCGATAAAGGAGGTTAGAAATCCACTTTCGATTACTGTTTCCCGTAGGGATTCCAATTCCTTATTTAATGTATCTTCGGTGCATATGTGATAGATTCTGGTAGAAAGAGAGGGAATAAAATTTATTCTCCAACTTATTAGGGCAAAAGTGAAAATTTGTCAGCTATCCATTCTATTTTGGCTGGTGGTGAATTGATCTTTGTAGCAAGGTTGAATCATATAATAGGTCTACGGGCTGACTGATGAATCCTGTTTCACTTTTAGGAAGACTTTTGTTAACTGCCTTTCGAATTGTGCACTGTTACCTTTTTCCACAATCTCATTTGAGAATTAGATCAGATTATAATCAAAAGATATAAGAAATCCTAAATAATTCATCCGTTTAGTTCAACAGTTTCACGCTCACATGATTTCCAAAATATTCACAAAGATGGGTTACACATGTTTCTAGTCTTAGCAAGTTCAGATCACCCTATCATCCTGTAGCACGATGGTTGGCAGAAATTTTAGAAGCTGTGAGAATGCTAATGGTGAAGCATTTCTTGAAAGATACGTTTAGATTCATGGATTCGGTAAGTCAAGTGAAAGTATCCGGATTACTTATGCCTTCAATGAACGTGAATTCTCTATTCACCAATGTGTCCTTAACGGAAACTGTGTGCTACTTATGTGAGTTTATCGACTAAAATAATCTGAATGTTGGTATGCCCAATAAGTGTATCAAAAAGCTAATACTGAGATGCCCATTAAATATCCAGTTTTTATTCAACGGCCAAATATACTGACGGAAATATGGAGTAGCGATGGACTGTCCATTTGGTCCATTACTCACTGATTGCTATATAGCTTACCTTGAGTTCCATATCTTCCAATCAATCGGTTCCAAAACAAGCAATAAAGGTTGATAAAGCAGGATTTAATGAATTCATCAAATTTCGGCAGAACTCGTTAGCTGAATACTCTACATACACGGATATATATATATACTTTTGAAATTACATTGGGAGATATAGGACTGATAAGTAAAGAAACTACATTGGATTAGTCATGCAGAAAGACGGGTGCGAATGTTTTTCCAGGTCATGTTCAAATAGATAAGGGGAGAGAGAGTATGAGAGATCAAAATTAAGGTAAATTGCATTACGGTTCAATTACACCACTTAGATAAACAATCAGACATTAGAGAATATAACAAGAATTGCAACCAGAGTGATATCAATAGTAATTTTGATCTCTCATACTCTCTCTCCCCTTATCTATTTGAACATGACCTGGAAAAACATTCGCACCCGTCTTTCTGCATGACTAATCCAATGTAGTTTCTTTACTTATCAGTCCTATATCTCCCAATGTAATTTCAAAAGTATATATATATATATCCGTGTATGTAGAGTATTCAGCTAACGAGTTCTGCCGAAATTTGATGAATTCATTAAATCCTGCTTTATCAACCTTTATTGCTTGTTTTAAATTCGTATCGGGAAATAAATGTTTCCAATCAGTTCCAAGTTTATAATTAGTACATGGATGATATCTTTATCATCATCAGTGAAATTACCGAGTTAAGCAGAATCCTGACCTTTGTTGTCAATTAATATTGTATATATAAACCTCCTAAACTGTATAGCTGCGAAGTTACGAAAAGAGATCTCTTTGTGTTCATAATCACTTCAAATATTTAGGAGGTTGCACCAGCCTTAATGGACTGAATGCTGACAAAATCTTACAGCGAAAAAAGGATACGTGTGACATTTGTCAAATTTCGTCATCTCTGGCGCAAATGTGATAACCGACTGATAATCAAAGCACGTGTGTACTGTCCAGCAACACGCTCAGTCCATCTTTATGGCTGTGATATGCCAGCTGGAACACAAAGGGATTAGCAGCTACGACTTCGCCAGAAAGTTTGGTTAAACAGCAATAAGACAAAAACGGCACTTGTTTTATACACTTTCAACCAAACTGATTAACAAGAATAATGATCCCAGAGGGCTTCGAATATGAGTAACAACTAATCATATGTCAGCTGAGTCTTCTTAAAGACTGCTAACAATGGCAATCAGTGAAAGCGAAAGCAATATACTCTCTAGGGAAACGATTTTTGAAGAAACATGAGTGACCGATATTGACTGACTGGTTTCAACAAAGAACATTGCACGGAAGTGCCACCGTTCAACTCACCACACTCCAGGTAGCATAAAAAGGTAGAGAAAAGATATCTCAAAAAATTATAAGGAGGAGAAATGTATGGGGAAGGAAAGAATAGCAACTGGAGAAAACGATAGGCTTTTATTAGATATGGTAGATTACATAGTGAATGCATTTGTGCCATTGAGAACGATTTTGAGTTACACCACTAGTTATTCGTTATTATCATCCCAAGGACTCCAACCAGGAAGCCTACACCTTCCTAAAACTAAATGTTACAGATTTCATGGACTAATTGCGAGTTCCAGTTCGACAACCACTAGCTCTTTTACAACTTGATCCCATGTCAGCTAACAATGCTTGTCGAGGAAGGTGATGGCTAAGCATGAGTACCACACGTTCCGGTCATCTCATCGATAGATTTTCCCTTCTTACCTAACACTCAACGCCCATCCTAAATATTATTCACCCTAACAACCACCTAACACGGAAGATAAAACCCAGACACCATTAATCAAAGACAGCTGACTGACTGCTTTTAACGTAGAACTGCGCACAGATATGCAGCAGTTCGAGGTGCCACACTTCATATAGCACACAAAGCAAAAGAAGAGAGTAAATGAAGGTTCAAATGACAGATAATAAACAGAAATATGAGGCAAAAAGAATAGTAATATGGAAGTACAATACATTTTTATTGGATATTATAATTCATAAGGAGTGGATTCATCTGCGCCATCGAGAACGATTTTGAGCCATTTCGCCAACTGTCTCCAGCCTTCATTGGTTTTTACCACCCTGAGGACCCCAACCAGTCAGGAAGTCTACATTTCTCTACGTGACTGACTTAAACTAACTGTCGTGAATTTCGTTGACTGATGCCATGTCTTGGTTTGACCATCAATAAGCTAACTCTTTTCCAACCTGAACTCATGTCAGCTAACATTGCCCATCGGTCGAGGAAGGCGATGACTAGGCACACGTAACACATGTCCTAACCGTCTCATTCGATGTAATTTCACAGCCTCGTCTATTGATTTCCCCTCCTTACCTAGCACTCGACACCTAACCGCAATACTGCTCAGCCTCAATTAACACGAGAGATAGAATGCAGGCACCTATGATCAAAGATAGCTAGCCTTTTCATGTCCCCCACTCTCAATGGCCAGGTCTCGCAGCCATAAAGGAGTACAGAGAGAAATGCGGAGCAGTACACACGCCGGGTATCACGTCTACGTCAGAGACGGCGTAAACTGGCATATGCGAGACTAGCTTTTTGTATTCTGGCTGAGATTTCGTCGGTAATCAATCCGTTTGAACTGATGCAACTTCCCAAATAAGTGAAGTGGTCAACGCGCTCTACCACTTCACTGCCTATTTAATCAGACAGCTAGTCTTTACATGTCTTTCAGTGTCTCAACCCATGGCTACTACCTCAACGTGGTTGTGGGGCATGCATATTGCAATGACCCAACAAGCTACACTGGCCGGAAGAAGAATCCCGGAAGGTTCTACCATACGAAAAAGGTTGTTAGGATAACAACCAGACTAAAAGCAGTTACCGACATAGTGTAATATGTTTACATTACTTTGTGTCTGTGGGTAAAATCGTACAGAGGTATAACGGCAGAATGTGTTTCTCCCAGATGACTAGCATGTCAGCTCTGTCGCCTTTCCACTTTGTAGAGGGAAGGCTGGAAAAGGTCGACCCCGAAAATCGTACATCCCGACTTACCCTACCATGGTCCGTAGTCGGCAGTAAGTTATTAGTACGGAAAGATCCTTAAAAACCAACTCAATCAGGCTGCATATGATCGGCTTCAAGCAACACTAATTCTGTTTCAGGTGCCCCAAGAAAAAATCAACTTCTATGAGGTGGGCAACCTGGAAGAGCCAACCGCTCACACAAACCAGGAGCACACGATCTGATCCCGAAGAGGACGATATCACCTCGGAAAGGGATGGAACTTCAAAAAATCGTTATGAGAGGCAAATGAAGCAATGGGCAACATCCTCTGATAAGGGTTTCAGGTGACACATATATGCTCATTATCAAAGTCGTTTGAACAACCAAGCAGGACAGATCTATGCGCTAGACCATGAGCCACATTTATTTTGTGAGCGCTAACGATACTACATGGTTGCCTGGGTTGAAGTGGGTGGATAAGGATTTGAAGATTGGACCAACTGACTGAAAACCGAGAGATCATGTCAATGGGTAATTTAACCCCAACCTGAATAGGATGTAGACATCGGTCAAGATTATAAAACTGTTAACTAACCTCTGCTCGACTATTCTGTCCTCTTATGCAATGAGCAATATTGAGGTTAGGCGTCGAGTGCTAGGTAGGGAGTAGAAATCAGTCGACGAGACTGTGAAATTACATCGATTGAGATGGTTAGGACATGTGTTACGTATGCCTAGTCATCGCCTTCCTCGACGGGCAATGTTAGCTGATATAGGGTCAGGCTGGAAAAGAGCAAGCGGCGGTCAAACGAAAACATGGCACCAGTCAATGAAATCCACAACAGTTAGTCTAAGTCACTTAGGAAGGTGTAGACTTTCTGGTTGGGGTCCTCGGGACGGTAAAAACCAGTGGTTGGAAACAATTGGTGATATGCCTCAAAATCGTTCTCAATGGCGTAGATGCATCCACTCCTTTTGACTTATGATCTCCAGTTAAACTGTTTTGTTCTTCGTTATTACTATTCTTTTGTCTCACACCTCTGTTTACTGTCTCTATTATGCATTTCTCCTCTTGCTTTGTGTGCTACATGGAGTGTGGCGACTTAAACTGCCGCACATATGTGCAAAGTTCTATGTCGAAACAGACAGACAGACATGCAATGAGTTGCAGCGACAACACATTTGCTCTCTACTCGTATATATACTCTTCCTAAGTTTAGCAACTTCATTGGATGTACTTATGAGGGAATTTCTCAGTCGGAGGTGGTTAACTGTCGATACGAATCCAGATTAATTTTCCTGAAATCGCTACACACATGAATTCTACTTTAATTCCGATTAACATTAAAATCTATAAGGATAAACACCTTTCCGAACAGTCGATCCTTAATTATACTATGTGGTTATTTATCACAACAAAATGCTATTACACACATAATTTCATGTGCATATTATGGTTTCATGTGTTCAGAATTTAATGGGTACTTTGACCATGTATGTACTAGGAGAAATTTCTTTGGTAATTAAGTAGACAACTTCTCATGCCTTATCTTAGCAAAATATTGTTTTGCTTTAAAGCACTAAATAATATCACGTATTTCCAGTTTTTTCTTTCAATTTTAAAAACACTTCTTCTTGTCACGACTTACAGAAGAAATCATTTCAGCTACCAAAATAGAGATACTAGATTAAAAACAAGTTTGGTTGTAAATATCATACTTCGAAGTTTAATAACCATGAGACTACTTCAAACTGTTGCCTTACTTGACCTAAATGTAGGAAATACTAAAAGAATCATATCTAGGAACATATATAAGCATACTTATGTACATAACATTTAATCTCAAAATACTCCAATAAACCAATTTTTGGAGTTTTAAGGGAATATCTGTGATGTTAAAAATTTTTGGTTTTTTGACACTATCCTCAATAGGCCCCAAAAACTGGAACATTTCTCCAAGACTTTCAATTGAAATATAACTAGATATTTAATTTAGCTTGCTCTCAAGGTAATAAAATGTGTGTATATACAGCAACTTTACGTTATGAATACATAATTATTAATTCACTACATAATTGAGTAACTTAGTAATGTTAACAATCCGTACAAACCTTACCAACCACGAGATGTTACGTTCGACATAAATCTGGCGCTTCATGTTCAATCGAACCAAGAAGAGGAGACGTGTAAATAAACGACCATTAATAGCCTTATTAAAGGCAGTGTTGCAGGAACGCAACTTCAACGTGAATTGCCTCATATGAACTGCAATTCACAAAGGAAACACAAGCATTCTACATATACAATGACCTATGACTGTTCTTTATAATACTATTATTCAGAATTATTGATGAGGATAGAGTACTTGAAGTTTATTTTAATCTCTTTCCAATAGGTCTAAAGACCTGCCAAAGCTTTTCTTGAATCAGTCACTCGAGGGCAATGACACAACTCCTTCTGGGAGTCTGTCATATGAGATAACGTCTCTATAGGAGAACCAGTACTCCTGAGCCATTAAGTTCCTCTGGACTTTCAGGTGTGTTGTTCCACTGTAGCGGCAAATAATTCCACAGAATTATCGGCCACAGTACTCATCACTGAATGTTGACCCTCACTGTTTAAGTCAATTTGTTTAGCTAAAGGCTTCCGGTCAAGCATCCACATCATTTAGCACGCCGTCGTGTTACGTTCGTGCACGATCCCCAGCCAATCAAGCAATCATCTTGCACTCCGATTTGGTCCCAAAATATAATTCGTAAATTGGATGGTCAATTCTGGTGTTTTGTTTTGCCTTTGGTCTACGCGGAACGAATACTATAGAAGTTGTGGATATTAGATCTTCCATCAGTATCCTTCGTACTATCCGTGAAAGTCAACGCCCTTAGCATCTAAACTTGTGGGCCCTACTGCTAAATTCCCATTTGGTAAATACGTAGAAAGATCTGTTGAGTTCTTTCCATTTTGTATTTGTTCTCGTACTATCTTTAAACTATATATATTTCGCCATGAGTGATCATACTCCCAAAGTCATCCATATTCGACCGACTAGCAAAACTATTCAGCTCGTGCCATTTTGGCCACGCAATGTGGAACCATGGTTTCAGATAGCCGAGTCTGATTTCAGTGAAAATGGGTTAACTGACCAGCGTTCACAGCTCCTTGCAGTTGTGCATGCCCTACCACGGGAATTAAGCAAATGCGTTACTGTGCAAATGTCGGGCCCAGAGGTAGTTAATCTGGATGAGTTGCTTAAAGTAACCCTCCTGAAGAGAATCGACATCACGGATAGACAGCGTCTTGATGAACTATTTCGTAACGCCGAGCTAGGTGATGAGTCGACTGTACTAGCGAGAATACGGGAAGTTACCGGTGAACGTCAGTTCGATGAGGGACTTTTCAGAGAACTTTTCTTATCTAAACTGCCACAGTCAATACAGGCTGTGCTGGTGAAACTTCAGGGTGTTATTATAGACGATTTAGCTGCTTCTGCAGATGAAATTCTAGAAATAACAAAACGCCAGTCACTGAAATATGATCAATTACCGGATAGACTTCAAGTAGGGACACTGTAGTGATAGAGTTAAGCAACTCCATCCAGCAGCTCCTCCTATCGCTGATAGAATTCCCCTCAACCGCGAAACCCATATGGTCGGTCAAAATCCAGACCACGTTCACTAAAAAACCATGACTGGCGTTGGTATCACAATACCTATGGTCAGGAAGCGAAATGTTGCCAAAAACCTTGTAATTTTGGCAATGTCTCAAGACTATGGGAAACTACCCTGCCGGCACGCGTTAGCGGCAACCGTCGCCTGTGACAGCAGCCACCTACTATACATCCGGGATTTAGCCACACCCAATACTTGGTCAACACAGGCACCGAAGTCAGCATTCTTCCTGCTACAGGGGAAGACCGACAGAAGGAATCTAAGTTCAACTTACGGGCTGCGAATGGAAAACCAGTTGCAACCTTTGGTAGGAAATAAGTCTATCTAAGCGTAGGTTTACGCAAACCCATTCAGTGGATTTTCCTTCTCGCCGACGCCACAATGCCTGCCATTCAGACGGACCCACTTAACCATCACGATTTACTCGTAGATGTCTGCCAAAAACGACCGATAAATGGTACTATCAGACTGTCTATTAAAGGCATCACTCAAGTAGGCTCGCTAGAAATGAGTTCGACCATTTGCTCACACTTGGCATCATTCGGCCATCGAATAGCCCATTGGCATCCCCACTGAATACGGTACCGAAAAAAGATAGCAACGATTGGCGGCTCACTCGTGATTACCAGGGAGTGAACGCCAAAACAACCCCTGATTGCTATCCATGGCCTCACATACACGACTTGACAGAAACATTATCTGGCGCAACTATATTCTCGAAGATAGACTCAGTTAAAGAGTATAACCAAATCCCGATGGCACCAGAAGATATTCCGAAAACGGTTATCATTATGACTTTCTGACCTCTTGAATTTCTACTTATGCCATTCGGTCTCCGGAATGCAGCACAAACATTCCAACGCTTCACTGACGAAGTATTTCGCGGTCTCGACTTTGTATATGCATACTTAGACGACTGCCTCATTGCCAGTCCGGATAAGGAAACTCACCTTAGACACTTGGACTCGTCATTTGAAAGGTTACGCCTACATGGTGTTACCATCAATATTCAAAAGTGTCAAACAGGCGTTGACTCACTTGACTTTCCCAGCCACACCATTGACTGCAAGGGTATCCGCCAACAGGCTAGTAAAGTTGAGGCGATACTGAACTTTCCAGAGCCAAAGACAGTGAAAAGTCTTCCACTTTAACGGCTTGGTAAGTTATTACCGACGTTTTATTCCTAAGTGTTCTTCCCTGATTCAGCCACTAAAAGACATTCTTCGAGGGAATAACGAGTCCATCGAACTTGAGGCATCTGCTTAAAATGCATTCACTCAGGTTAAAAAGCCATTGCGGATGCCACCCTTCTTATGTATCAGGATCCAGTGGCACCGTTAAGTATCTCGGTTGATGCATCAGACACTGCAATCGGCGCGATTCTGCAACAACTAGTCAACAGAGAGTGGCAACCATTCGCCGTATTCTCGAGGCGCTTACAATTAGCAGAAACAAAGTACAGCACATTCGGCACAGAATTTCTGGCAATGTACTCTGCTACACGTCATTTTCGATATTCAGTGGAGGGTCGTGAATTTATAATTTTCACTGACCACAAAACTCTGACTTACTCTCTGAACTCAACTTTGGATAAGTATTCACCTAGAGAATCACGACAACTAGATTAGGTTTCACATTTGCCATCGGATATTCGCCATGTATCCGGAGTGAACAACACTCTGGCAGATGCCTTGTCGCCTATTTGTTCTCTCACCCAAATAGATGACACAGACCTTGTGAAACTGGTTCGTCTTCAAAAAGAAGATACTGAGCTCCAATATGAGTTGTCGAAAACAACTCTGCGATTAGCCGAGAAACCCGTAGGTACAGGAAGAGACACTATTCTATGTGATATTTCCACGAGTGCTCCTCGCCCCATCGTGCCTAAAAGTTATCGCCGTAACGTCTTCAACACGTTGCGTGGCTTATACCACCTAGGTATCCGAACTACCATCAAGCTCATAACTGGTAGGTTTTGCTGGCCTGGTATTAATCAATAAGTAAGGGAATAGGCTCACACGTGCATAGCTTTCCAAAAGTGCAAGGTAGTGAGACACACCAAAAGCCCTCTTGGCACCTTTCTTATCTCTGATACTCGTTTCGAACACGTTCATGTGGATCTGGTTGGACCCCTTCCAGAATCTCATGGATATACCTACATCTACTGTTTTACGCGGTGGCCTGAAGCAGTACACCTCAAGGATGTATCTGCTGAAACAGTCACACGCGTCTTTGTCGAACGATGGATCGCAAACTTTGCATGCCCATCCTCCATAACAACTGATCTTGGACGACAATTCGAAAGCGGCTTATTCTTCGCCTTGACTAAAATCATAGGTTGTATGCGTTCTAGAACAACGGCCTACCATTCTCAAGCTAATGGTATGGTAGAAGGTCTACACCGGCAACTGATGTCCTCACAACCCCACTAGGGGGGTGGAGTGAGCTGTAGCGGTAGGTAATTCCCCAGAATTATTGGTCACAGTACTCATCACTGAATGTTGACCCTCACTGTTTAAGTCAGTTTGTTTAGCTGAAGGCTGACGATCAAGCATCCACATCATTTGCCACGCCGTCGTGTCACGTTCGTGCACGATCCTTAGTTAGTCAAGCAATCATCTCGCACTCCGATTTGGTTCCGAAATATAATTCGTAAATTGGACGGTCAATTCTGTTGTTTCGCTTTGCCTTTGGTCTACGCGGAACGAATACTATAGAAGTTGTGGGTACTAGATTTTGCGTTAGAATACTTCGTAGTATCCGTGAACGTCCACACCCTTAGCCTCTTAAATACCAGCAATATAAATGTACACATTTCATTTGTCCACAGCCTCATCCATAGTGTGCATCAATGTAAAAAGTTCAGAGGATTTAGAAAACAACACTAATAATTATATAATTAAAATGCATATAGTATAGACATTTTTACATACTTTAAACTTGAATTAACTAATAAAGCGTATAATTTATTACAAATAGGTGTTCATTAATAATCTGAATGGAATGTTGTTATGAATAAAAGAACATTTAAATTAAGCTATAAATCTAATTTGTGAACATAAATTAAGTTTTGTCCGTCCATATTTCATACAGAGAAAAAGTAAAAACCATCTCTAGTAAATTGTAAAATCATAAAGAAAAACAAAATAATTTTTTGGAATGCAGGTGTTGTAAGTATTCATTGTTATTTATGAGAACAAATATATGAATGGAATGCAAAAATGCTTTAGTTGATAAGAAGAGTATTTTACATGGCAATTTAATATCACATATATTATATAAATATTCCGCGTTTCAGAGGTTATTTCTGTTATATGATCAAAGTAATTAAGTATTGTTATTATGCGCATTAGATATAAACACTTGGTTAGTTAGTTTGTTTTATATCATAATTGAACCTTGACGACTTCGTCTCGGTCTAGAGTATTCTGCACCCTCAAGAAAGCGCTGTAAATAATAAAAATTGAAAACAAAAACAAACAACATATAATGACTAAACATTTTCAATGGTTTATTATAATTTTAGATAATTAAAACAAATTCAATAATGATGATGAGAACAATAATACATTGAAAATTGATGAATTCAAAGTATCAAGTTCACCGTTATACCAAATTATGATGGGAAAAAATAGTTTTGAAACTTTACATAACAGAGTTCAAGAATAAATTTTCTTAGACAATATTATTTTTATTTATTATCTTTCAATGGTAGAATGCTCTACAGTCATGCGAGTGGTAAGGGTCCGATTCCTAGTCAGTGCAGTAGAAGGAAGGTTGGGTGTAAGGTTAGCAAACTCACTCTGTAAAAACAGCACCCTCACTACTGAAACTTCAAAGCTCAAAAACTTGAAGTCATGCGTTCTACCACTTGGAACCCTTATCTATACTTTCAGAAATGTTTCCCAATGAACGCAGAATCCTGACAACATTATTACCTGAGTGCTACGTATCTTCTGATACATAAACTTCCATACAACACGTTTATTCTTTCTAAGAGGCCTAATGGAATTAGTTTAATGACTTTGTTCGTTTAAAACAATTTTGAAGGTAATCATTAGACAATTCACATTGTGCTTTGTTGGATTAATTTCAATATGGATTTCGTGGTATAATGCCTGCCAACTGTAGACGGGGTCCAAGTTCCATTCCTGACCGATACACACCTAAATCTCATCCAGTTTACTAGCTGATAATATGCCAAGAAAAGAGAGAAGTGAATTCAGTTAGAGGACGATTGAAGAACATGGGAGTACTGGCCAGCTGTTTCGTCCTAGTCTGGGACTCTTCGCAGTACGCACCCACTGAATTTTGAACCAATGTATCAGGTCCCAGTGACTTGATGGTCTACGAGCTCGCTAGTCTTGTAACTAAAAGGGGCAAAGTTCTACAATAGAGTCCCAAGGAACGAACGCACAAGTGACCTTGAACCGACCAGTCAGAAAAAAGGATGATTTTTGCATAAAATTTTACGTATTTTCGCATAAATAAGCATGAAAAAAAATCATACAGGGTACTTTTCTGTAATATCAGATAAAAAATGTTCCACTTATTAAGAGGAGTTACAGTTTTTAAATTAAACCAATTTCTATGCATATATTCATCCAAATGACTGAAAATAACTTCCTTTTGTGATCCGTTGATAGCTCGGATTCTATTTTTCAGCCTTCCCCAGAAACCTTCGGTGGAATTATCATGAGTACCGGTGACAGGATCGACGGAATCATTCGAATGGTTCACTCTATGGTGCATATATCCCAATTGCGATAATTGGCTATATCCCGCCCATTCATCTGTGTGAATGGTGGTGCCTGGTGACACTAGACGCTGAATAATAGGGAGGAGTGTATCAGCACTACTATCTAGAATCAGCTCCATAAACCCTTTGCGAATCTAGGTGTCATAAATTCCTAAAACCCAAACATTATTCGCTCTGGCACCCAGTAATTGGACAGTAACAAGATATTCAGGCAAAGTTAAACTTTCGACACCAATAACAACCAATCGTCAAAGGCAGTTTCAACTTTTCAAAGAAAGTTCCTAGAAGACAATTAATTCAGTGTCACTTACCAGTACGCACAATTATTCGCGCTAGAATAATGGTGAGCTTCCTCAACCAATGACTAGCATGCATTCAGGGTCATTGGAACATTCACAAGGTCATTGGAACATTTTACAATCTTGGGACTCTATTGTTGAACTTCGCCCTAAAAGGTCCTGGTTCAAAACTCAGTGGGTGCGTACTGATGAAGAGTCGCAAAATTAGGACGAAACAGCTGTCCAGTACTCCCAGGTTTTCCAGCAGTCCTCAAACCGACATCAGTTCGTGATGACATCCTGGAACCTATAAAATCCTTGCAAACCAACACTTGAAAAGAGAGAACGTCGGTTATGAAGCTAGCAACCTCTCCTCCGTAAACAACAACACAACCGCTACTGAAGCTTGGAGCCCTATGTTCCACTCGGAACGCAAAGAAATGAAAAGTAAAGAACGTTTCAAGCAGGAATTAAAAATACTGTGTCAAAAAATATGATAAATCTAAAAACAACAAACAACGCAGACACAAATATTGATGTACTCACTTCATGCTCCACTGGTGATCCCATCCCTTCAGCATCGTATTGAGATTGATTATATCTGTTGTTTACTCCAACTGGGGGACGATTCATTCGATCATGTTCTGGTGGGTATCTATCATGTCGCATTGCCTTTGATATTATTAGAAAATAATAATTTTAAGAAATTTAGCATAGTTAAGATTTATAAAACATAAAGTTATTTATATAAAATAGTAGCATCACAGAAGGTTTATATGGATCTCTAAAACCTACTGGTACGGTCACACCAAGATTATAAGGACTACCAAAAGTGCATAAAAATGGTTTGTCACTTCGACCAGTGCTGGACAGGTGTAATTCCCCATATCACGTGACAGCAAAATGATTGGTGAAGCTCCTAAAACCTCTGCATAACGAGCTGGTAAAACATAGTGTAAACGGTAGTTTTGAATTTGTCGAAAAAATAAGAGATCTTAATGTGAATGATAAGTTTATGATATCTTTTGATGTGTCCTCCTTGTTCACCAATGTAACGTTAATGGAGATAGTGGATTTTAAATGTGATGAGATTACTAAGCGAAACATAGACATTGGCATTTCTGTATCCTCCTTGAAGGAATTTATTTTAAGATGTACAAAGAATGTTCACTACTTATTCAATAAGGAATACTATATACAAACTGATGGTGTGGCTATGGGTTCTCCACTATGTTCAATCCTAGCTGATTTTTTGCCCGCTAAGTTAGAGAATAGACCGCTGAAAGGAGTGTACAAGGAAGTAGATTTCTACTGTCGATATATGGATGATACATTTCCGGTTATGAAAAACGAGAATGAAGCAATGAACATCCTCGGCAAGTTTTTGATGATGCGCATTCAGCACTGAACTTTACCATAGAGAAAGAAAGTAATGACAGTATCTCATTGCTAGACGTCTTCCTGGTAAGGAAAAAAGATGGCACACTAAGAAGGGGTGTGTATAGGAAATCTACAACAACAAGTCAGTACACTCATTTTTTGAGTTTTTTACCTTTGAAATCTAAACGTAACCTCGTAAAGTGTCTGGTTCATAGAGCTAGGATAATCTGTTCAAACGACTCCCTCAATGAGGAGCTTAAGATTATTAGAGAATTACTTAGAAAAATGGTTATGTAGATAAGTTCATTGAGAAAAATATGAATTTAGCACCAAGGAGAGTCAGTATGGCAACAGTTCCGAAAAAACTATTGTTCATAAAACTGCAGTTCCTCGGTGATATTACCAGCGAAATAGTAACACAACGCCTGAAGAATGCTGTTAAAAGAGCTTATAATGCAGTAGAGGTACGTTGTCTCTTCACTACCGATTCTACGTTCGAGAAATAAGGATAAACCACCTAAATTTGCCTCTTCTATGTGTATCTACCAGTTTGACTGCAGCTGCGGAGCCAGCTACATCGGGCGTACAGTTAGGCAGGTTCATCATCGTATTTCCGAACATCATCCTGTAGCATGGTTAAGCAAGGGAAAAACAAGATCTATTCGTAGCTCTGTTTTAGCACACCTTGTAGATAGTGAACATAAAGTTGACATTAATACAGCATTTAAAATTATTTATCGCATTCCTACTAATCTTAATTTTGCTTTACGAGTTAGTCTTCTATATACAGCTGAAGCCATAAGAATCCACCTGAAGAAGACAAACCTGTGTGTTCAGAAGAAATTTGTACAGCCACTTTCCTTAACTTGGTCATCGTTACATGAATGTATAAACCGGACTACTTCGCCCCCTCCCCCTAAACCTTCGAAAATTATAATTGTCCAAATTATTTTATTATTTTTCTGACTACTTCATCTTTAATTACAAGTTATCATTCTCTAAATCGTTTTATTTTTCTTTAACAATCTGTTACGTAATCAACTTGAGCACACGCTTATACCTTAATTACTCTTCATTTTTCCAAAATTACGCATTATGCAATCCCCGTGTTCTACCTTTTAATTGTGTGTATTAATTTTCTTCGTTAATTATCACCCCCCCATTGACATATTGATACTGACTAATTATTGTTAACAAACACATCGCCACTGGATTGGTAAATTGTTATGTATTGTAATAAAAATGTTATATACATATTAGAGTAGAGCCAGAGATGAGGATTTACCTGAGAATAAAATATTTCTTCACTCAATCCTTTTTGCTTTCTAAAGCAATGTTGTTTAATTTAATGAATTTAAGCATGATGACATCTAATTGAAAGCAATATTATTCGCTTACATGTTTTGTTCAAGATTTTACTACTATTTGGTATTTAAAAGTGGAAAACATTTGTAGCCTAAGAAGCAAATATTTAAACTGATGTTGAATGTGAATTGGAGTAGTAATCAGGGAATGAAATATCAACTTGCAAATGATTGATAGAGATTTGATCTAAAAGACTTAGTGGATTGCAAAGTATTTATTCCACCCTGTAATCCAGTTCACATTAGAGAAGGAGTCCGACTCGAAAATATCTTTTCTGAAGGTTCAACTAACAAGACGTGAACAAGATGGAACACTGAGAAGACGCATCTAAAGAAAGTCAACAACAGAAAACTCGGTAATTTTCACAGTTGGGTGCCTTTATATACAAAACGAAACCTGATTCATTCATTGAGTCACAGAATCCGCAGCATTTGCAACCCAGATACTACGGAAGAGAAGCTGTGAACACTCTGAAAAGAAACCTCCTTGAAAATGGCGACCCCGGACGTTTCATCACAAAATCCATGAAGCCTAAACTGATAAAACCGCCCACACTGTTTGATCCTATAAGACTTCTCCACATGAATCTACAATTCCATGGACACTCAGTGGCAGAAATACTGAGAAACCGCCTGTACCTCTCACTGAAGAAAACCTTCTTCGTGGCCGAATTTCGACTAACCTTCTTCACAAAACATGAACACTGACACAGCTGTTTCAACATAGTTTTAGACTATTTAAAAATGTGTACCTATGGGTTACTTGATTCCAACCCGGTGGCTAAATGGTTAATGTATTCAGCTGGTAATTTGAAGGTTCAGGGTTTGACTTCTGGTTAGGTGATTGGTTCACGATGCTGAACAGCCCTAAACTTGGACGAAACAGCTGTTCCTTGGTTTTTGTTGATTCTTTAATATATACTGGTTCATAAAAAACCTACAATGTTTAATATATTATTCAATATCTGCATTCATGCATCCTGTTAATTTTTCAACACAACATTAACTTTTGAAAATTAATCTGATGCTGTTTAGTGAGTGACTGGCTACAGGATGAGGTTCACTGGAGTTCTAGTGATTAGTCATGACTACTGGGGTGTATCCGGTCAGAAGTGAGGGCAAATACTCGCCGATGACATTGGCTGGTGGTGGTGGTGTTAAAATCACGATTTGGTAGAAGCTGGAATTCATAGGCTACTGGGTCGGGTCCCAGTGGCTGAATAGTGGTCGCCTTGTAGCCGGGTGCGTACTGTCGATAAGTCCAATACTGGGAGGACGAAACAGATGTCCACTGCTCCCTGATTTTCAATGGTTTTCTAACTGTGATATCAATCAGTGGTCAAACGTGAATTACTATTATAATTATTATCATATAACAAATGTCTTATAAAAATTGTTATCAAAATTTACTTGATTTAAAGGAATCCGTGATTCATGAGGTGAAGTATAACCATCCGTTAGAGGAGTATTCATAACTCGTCGTGGTTCATTGTACTGTTCATGGTTATAATCTTTCATAGAAAAAGAAAATGAAAATGCGCTTACATAAGTACAATAATTGTCGAAACAAAACTAGAAGATAACAGATCAACCTATGTGAAAATCATTGGTCGAAATCTATCCATAACACAGTCTAGGGAATACGGAATGTGATGGTTGGAGGCAATCGATAGGAAGCCTTGCTTCACGTGGGTTTCGTGTCTGTTGGCACTCATCAGTCAGCAAGGCATATCTGCAGTCTTGAAGGAACTCATGTCCCTTCTGAGATTCAAACCCATGTCACCCACCCAGTGGGGCAATCAGAGACGTTAACACCGAGCTATTCGGGCTTGTGATTGACCTCCTGTAGGACTGTATTGCACACTTTGATTAGATATCAGTTAGTAACTAGTGTCATGCATCTAGTCCTTTGTTTGGTACAGACTGAATTCTGTCAGTAAAGTTTGCAGTGTGGCCGCAGTAACGCTGCACTCTGAATCGTTGCTACTAAACGGATGGACACAATCATCAGGAAGCCTTGGAACTAGGTTTCTTGAGGCGAAATTGTGTCAATTGACTTCATTGGTGAAGAATTGAATTTAGAAGATATTTAATAATTAGGCTTTACGATGGATTCAGTTGCAATCACATTTATGTCATTCCTTATTAACATTGGTGCTTAACAGTTTTCTTCATAGTCTACTATACAGAAGTATAGCAGTTCAACTTTTGTGGCTGTGCTCGACGTTATGACTATCCTTCAGTTAGTAAGTTTATCATTTAAAGATACAACAAGGCGGCTGTAAGCCGATCGATAAGGTTATGAAGCTACATCCTTTGAGATGTCTAGTGGACAGAGAGAGTTACAGATAGTCAAATCAGAGTCTGGCATGAGTACATAAAGACTCTAACAGTTGGTTTGGTCAAGCCACGTAGGGAGGTGAAGACTGGTTGACTGAGGTCCTCAGGATGCTAAGAAACAATGGCTGAAAACTGTTGGTGATATACTTCAAAATCATTCTCATTGGCACAGATTATTTCATTTTTTGTGTTCTCCTAAATCCATGATATCCTCTTAGTTTTCCCGGTTGCCATCCTTTCCTTCCATCACACATTTCTGATCCTTATAGTTCTATCAAATCTCTTTCCCCCCTCTCTTTCTTTTCTATATCTTTGTGTACTACATTGGGTGCAGTACACAGAACTGTGCAAAGTTCTATGTTGAAACTTAATTAGTTAGGCTCTTGGATGATATTCCCCAAGATACTAAAATGACTGTTTACAGTTGAAAGTCATAACAGATGTGTAAATTAACAGTAAATTTGGTTGCATGGAGGATTTCACCATGAGCTGACATCAGTTAGAGAACCACTGGAAAAGCTGGGAGTACCGGACAGCTGCTTCGTCCCAGTTTGTGACTCTTCAGCAGTACGCACCCAGCCAGCTTTTCCAGTGGTTCTCTATCTGATGTCAGCTCATGATGAAATCCTTCATGCAATCAAACAAAATCCCTACAAAACCAATTCTTGAAAATTAATCTGATGCTCACTAGCGACTGGCCCTATTCAGGCAGTTAGTCTGGGGTTCTAGTGGGAAGCCGTGACCAGCAGGGTACAGCAGGTTGAAGATGAGGCAGTAACTCATCGAAAAAGACATTGCGAAATGGTCGCACTATGTCGTGAATTGGCAGAACTTAGATTTCAAGGACCATTGGATCGGGTCCCAGTGGCTCAATGGTCTACGAGCTCGCCTTGTAACCAGAAGGTCATGGGTTCGAACCCTGGTGGTGGGTGCGTACTACTGAAGAGTCCCAAACTAGGACAAAACAGCTTTCCAATACTCCCAGGTTTTCCAATGGTTCTCTAACTGATGTCAGCTCATGATGAAATCCTCCATGCAATCAAACAAAATCCCTACAAAACCAATACTTGAAAATAACAGTAAATTTATCCGGGAATATTTATTTAATAAAGATACTTTCGTAATTCTCTTTTTATTTCATTTATGCTTTTATTGTTCAGCTTATTTTCTTTCTTATTATGTCGGCATTTTATTAAACTTCATCATTCCCTCCAAATCAAATAAATCCAACCTTGTGCGGAACTTTGGATTCACAGAATTGATGAATGAATAGGTTTACTCAAAATGAATTAAACATGAAACAAACAGTATGTTCATGAATTTCGATGAAAGCGTCAATTAAATCGATTTTGAACAAACTGGCAAATAAATTTGAGTCGATTCTCTCTTGCAGTCTGATCTTGATATTCAACACTGATGTGTCTGGAACTTTCAGAAAATTTAAGTCTGTGGGTTTTGGGAGTTTTAGTCAAAAACTGCTCCAGTCAAGTTAAATAAATGAACTGCTTAAAAGATCTCAAGTTAACAGTAGTCATCGAGTATTTTGTCCATATTTGTGACATGAATAAAGAATGCGTAACTATTCACTATTCATTACTTCCATTAATCCCTGGATGAAATCTGATACGCTGACAGGATGATTAAATGTGTAAATCTCAATGAATTAAAGAAAAAAATCTATGAATGCTGGAACGGTTGTTGTAGAACTGACTTGAAGTAATTTGGTGAATGGTGTCTAGTTATAGAATCTAGAATGCGGATTTTACCCTATTTGAGACTCGTCAGCTCGATGAGCCTGTGATAGTGTTCCCACTGAGACTCGAACCCAGTATCCATCCTTTCAAATACCAAATCGTTATTCATCAGGCAATATGGACCACGAGAGACACCATCTCGTGGGCTAATCACCATCCACCAAATTACTTCAAGTTAATCCACAGACGCGTCATTGAAGCATGCGCACAAGCAGCAGATATGCCAAAAGAGGCCGAACATTCCGGTTCAATCAACCAACAGAAAAATCAAAATTGAATTAAAGATTGCTATAGAAGTGTGTCAGTGGCACAGCGGTAGAATATTCACCAACCACATATTTGGTCCGGGATTCGATCACCGGCCGAAGCATTTCTTTACCTCGCTAAGCCAGTAATAAGACTTTTAAAGAGAGAAGGTTGGAAATGAGGTAGCAACCCCACATCCCGTAAAAATAAACACCAGGGCTACCGAAACTTCAAGCCTGTAGCTTGAAGCCCTTTGTTCCACTAGGAACGTAAAGGGGAAAAAAGAAGTTTAAAAAACAAAAAACATTGCAAAGACAGAGGCAAAATTAAGTGTAGTTAATATTACAGAGTTAAGTAAAAAAACGACTGGAGGTCTTAGGGTGAAATGTATAACTCTTCGGTTTCATATACTATGGTGAATTTTTCGTGAAACACAACAGCCATCATTCGTGCAACGGCATCCTATGTTTACCGTGATATTCAGAAAATACGTTTTTTCACATATGTTCACAATTAATCTAGTGAGTGTAGTTTGTTTTCGTTTGATTTAATCATTTTCTCCGACTGGTCAAACATCTGTATCTTCTTTACGATTTTATCCCCTGACAACTCACTATTTATCCTCTGTTATATACTTATTGAGATCTGCATTAGTCTTCATTTCATTCGCTGTCACTAAATGCTTGCAAAACAATTGGATTCATACAATCTATAGCGAATGGTATTCATGAAAGTTCTTTTTCATTTTAGTTCCGGGTGGAACATAGGGCTTCAAGCTTTGATCTCTGAAGTTACTAGCTTCACACCCAATCTTCCCTCTTGTTTCGGGCTTACTACCACAATTAGAACACGTTTAGGAGTGAGTCGGTTGAAAATCGAACCCGGACCCCCCATGTGGTTGGTGAACATTCTGTCACCGAACCAATGACGTACTTTCTCCTAAATTAGTTACACAAATGTTTGTTAATACGTTGTGATAATCAGCTGACGAAACCAGTATAGTCCTTGATATTTCTGAGAGAGAGAACGCATAGAGAAATGTAGTTTTACAGACTTACCGTCAGATGATTGTTCATGTTCATCACGATAACGTGCATCATTATCATACTGTTGTGAATCTCGTCTTGGTGAATTCGTTGAATTTGGATAATGCTTAGATCCTTGATGATGATGTTGATTATGATGGTCTTGATCATTTTTACCCTTCTTTTTATCATTTTTAAATCCATTACTTTGACGTCGATGCATTCCATGAACTGTATCATTTTCAACAGGTTGACTGGGATTACCACCACCACCAGTACCAATGCCAAGAATACGTTCTGCTTTTGTAACTTTCCCTGTTGGATGACTAGCTCTCCAATAGGCTTCTAAGTATTCAGCTAAATGTTCACATGCATCTGGAAGTTGATTTTCTTCTAAAATTACATCAAATTGATCCTAAACAGAGAAAATTGATATGAAATGGTGTTATATCATATAGTAAATTGGGTTAATACATCCTAAATAATAGAAAACTTTTAAACATTAATCATTTAAGGTACATGAAACAAACTGTTTTTACTTCGCTAAATTAACTTAATGACAAGTGCACATGTAACACAAAAGAAAAGACGTTCAGCGCAATCGCATATATGCACATAGTAAATTATCTTGTGGTGAAAGCTGGCTGCTAGCCAAATTGGTAGACAGTAATTTACGTCAGTATTTAAGTCCTCAATATTGGTCGTGAGAAAAATAAGAACAAAGACTGATTCAACAACCAACCACATCAGATTTTGCGTAGGCGGATACAGTTAGCATATAGATGATCTGACATTCAAGAAACAGCCACAAAGAGAAGAAAGATTAACTTTAAGTGAGAAACAACCAATCAGAAGACTGTGTTTTTCTGCTAACAGTAATCTATAACAATGTACGTGAAAAGCTATAAATATGTGTTGATTTCCTTAATCAAGGATCTGTTGCCCGGCCTTTGTCTTCTGTTGTTACAATCTTAGCGACAAAAGTAATATTTCCAAAGATGTGTCATTAGAATTGTAAATTTTCAAGGACAACGGGTTACGTAATACAAGTAGTGTCATTATTATTATTGTTTCCTTTAATTCCTAGAGGAACATAGGGCTTCAGCCTGCGTCTCCATTGCGTTCGGTTCTCTGCTAGAGTTTTCACCTGGCTCCAAGTCTGCCCACACGCTTTCATCTCTTCTTCACATGACCTCCTCCAAGTCACCCTTGCATTGACGACCAACTCGCCGCTTCCCTTTCGGGTTCCACTCGAGCAATGGCTTGTCCAGTGATGTCACTTGTTGGTTTCCTCAGAGTATGGCCAGCTAATCCATCTCCATTTCTTCCTGCCTATTTGTTTCACAATCGGTTCCTGGTTGGTTTGCTCCCAGAGATCCCTGTTGCTGATCTTTTCTGGCCATCTGATCTTGAGTATTGAGCAAAGACAACTGTTAATGAAGGTCTGTAGTTTGTTTGAGATGCTCTTTATGACGCGCAGTGCAAGTCTCTGATCCGTATAGTAGCACTGACTGAATTCACATTAGAGTTGAAAATCCGGATCTTATTTTGGATGCTGAGTGCTGTTGACCTCCACACAGACTTGAGAGTAGTGAAAGCTTGTCTTGCTTTTCCGATTCTCGCTTTGATATCCTCATCAGTTATGTCCGCCTGTAGTTGAAACGATGCTTCCCAGGTAGGTAAAAGAGGTTGTTTCTTTCAGGTTCCTTCCATTTATGCTGATTGTTGTCTGTTGTTGTTGTAGCTGTTGGTGGTGTTGGCCAGGAATCTTCATCACCTCTGTTTTCTCTATGTTCACCTGAAGTCCTTCCTATCTTCCCTGGATGCTTCTTCTGCGAACTTGTTGCTTTTCGCTTGCATATCTTCCAGTTTGTGGGAAATCAGACATATATCATCGGCGAAGTCCAGATCCTCCAAGTTGGTTTTTTGTGTGAGTCCATTTTATGCCTGTTTCCTCATTGCCCGCTGTTTGTCGGATTATCCAGTCTACTGCAATCAGGAAAAGCATTGGTGATAGTAGGCAGCCTTGTCTTACTCCTGTCTTCACTTCGAAGGATTCCGTAAGTTTTCCGTTGTGGATTACTTGGCATGCAGCATTGTCGTACAGCTGTTGGATAAGATGTATAATTGCCGGTAGCACACCGTAGTAGTGAAGTAGTTTCCAAATCACCTCTCGATGGACGCTGTCAAAGGCCTTTTCAAAGTCGAGTCGAAACTAAAATAAAATCAATTAAGTAGATTGAGTGACGTAATATAATTGACGAGATTGAGTAGAATTTAAATAACACTTGACGAGGGTCAAGTTAACAACAGTGGTAATAAGGAGTAGAAATTTAATAGGGATGAAGGAAGAAGTTAATCCAATTAAAAAAAATTACATATCCGGTGTTAAAACACATCAAGTCCATTGTAGATTCAATGACTGAACAAACTTCTTTTGTATGCAGAGTTCCGGATTTGACATGTGAATTACTATTGCTCCTGTAGTCTGAAAAAGTTTGATTCGTACTTTTTTAGACAGGTTCCTGTGTATTCTGTAGATGATTTTGAAGTTGGTTTGTGGGTTAGCTTGGTGTCCAGATTCGATCAGGTATTCCAGGATATAGGTGAGGCTGGGAGGATCTTTTTTCTCCTTTATAAAGCCATGAGGTTAGGTGTTCGATGATACATTTGGATAGTAAACGCTGAGTAAGGTCGACATACCTAGCTCTACAGGAGCAACAGTGATAGTTTATATTTCACGTTGGTTTTGTAAGGAAAGTCAGTCAAAGTTCAGACGCGAAGAATGTCATTTTCAATGAGTGGAACAGGCGGTTTCTTTGTATTTCTGTGGCTGAGTCTCCAATGAATTGTAGATACAGGCATAGAAATCTTTTAGGAGTAGGAAGTGTTGATGGTCTTAGTGGTTTAGGCTTCATGGATTTTGTGATGAAAGGTTCGGCGTAACCATTTTCAAGGAGAATTCTTTTCTTTTACAATTCTAATGACACATCTTTGAAAATATTACTTTTGTTGCTAAGGTAATTTACTATATATATGCTTGCTTGTACAGCTTGAGAATGATATCGCTGAAGACATTAACTCTTCGTTGAATATCTTTTCTTTTATATGACACATAACAGACAAAATTGAAAAATATAAGCATATAAGAATACTCAAAAATAACAGAAACAAAATGACGCGGGCTAGTGAAAGCCTTCGTGAAGCCGAATCGGCTAATTTGTATTCTTTCGATGGACGAAAAAAATAAGCATGAGGACATGGAATGTCTACACGGAGTTTTCAAAGCTGGTAAGGCTGTTCAGATTGCAAAAGAAATGAGAAGGATATCAAAGGCAGAATCGGAAAAAGAAAGACAAACCTTCATTATTCTGAAATCAGTGTGGAAATCCACTGCACTCAGTATAAGAAACAAGATTCGGATCTTTAACACTAGTGTCAAATCAGTGCTTCTATGTTATCCAGGGACTAACGGCGTCATGTAAGGCATTTCCAACAATCAGCTGAAGACTTTCATCAATATCTGCCTCATCTCAATATTGAAGATTAGGTGGTCAGAAAGGAACGAACGAATCAAGAGCCTATTGATCAATAAATAAGTCGAAGAAAATGGGGATGGATCGAACACACGCCGAGGATACCATTGAGTGACATCACGTACCAGGCCACTGACTGAAACTCGAATGTGGAATAACGAGTTGGGAGTTCAAAGGTGACGTGGAGATCGTGTGAGGAGGAGTTAAGATATTACACGTAGCCATGGGACCAGCTAAGGGGGACTGCAGAGAAGCTTGCTTAGTTGAAAGTAACACCGGAAAAGAGCGAAAGTTGGCTGTGATGCTAGGATCGCCATTCAGTAAAATAAACACCGCTGACATTGAAGTTTTAAAGCACAAAGCTTGAACCCTATGTTCCATTCGTAACACGAGGAAATAAAAAAAAGGGATTCTGAGGGAAGAATTACTGAAAACCACATCTTGCTTAAAACCTTCTTGTTTAGAATATATTGTGAGAATCATGAATTTTCACTGGACATTATTGCTTGATTTCACTTTTCTGTCTCTGAAATATACCCCTCTCTGGGTTAATGTATAAGTGATGTAGTTTAACTTTATTATTCACTGATAGACTGTCATAAGTTTTAGTAAATGTGAGTACGCTGACTGAAACTTTGACTATGTCTTTTAAAATAAAGAAAATGTTCTTCCCCCTAACTGTCTTCGGTTTTCTCTACAGCTCAGTAGCCATTTTCAGTTGCTTAGGAAACAGCAAGAACCGAAAGATTGATAATTTAATGTTTGACTCCATAAATTCTTTGAAAGTTACTATAACTGGGATATTTTACAGTAATTTATATGATTATATTTCCTGCTTATATTCACTACGTAGCTATCTTACAATACAGTCAGTAAAGTGTTCACAATACTGAGACTGCAAGTAACAGAAAGATGTACAATATGAAAGAATAACAGCCGGTACGAGCAATTTTTAATGACGCTGGTCAACTAATCAAAATGAAGGAAATTAATAAGCATGTGTTGATTGTGAGGTAACATTGCTTGCAACTGTTAGATTCTCGCCACGAACCAACATCATTCAGAAAAATCATTGAGAACCATCTGGGAGTCCTGGACAGCTGTTTCGCTCGACTCTGCGATCCTTTATCAGAACATACATTTGACTCAACCAGGGATCGAACCCGGGACCTTCAACGTTACAAGACCGAACTCGTTGACCTCTTAGCCACTTGGGCTAGTATTTAGTGACACATGATTCCTAACTTTGCCCTCTCTGTGAGCACGCACTTCACCGTGACATGGTAGACCCAGCAAGTCATGACTTCTCACTTCAGCTTCAGGAAATCCATCCAGCAGCCATCAGTGAGCTGGCGATTGATATGCAGATTTTAGAATTTGTCTGGATTCTGGATTAATTCCAGTTGTTAGATTTTCGTCGCCAACCAACATTAGTTAGGGAGGTAATTGGAAACCAAGTAGCACTGGACAGCTGCTTCGACCTATTTCAGGACATCATGCCACCTTATATACACTTTATGGCACGTCCAATTAAACCCGTTTTCATAAAACAATCAAAACCCACTCAACAGAAACGAACTGGTAGCGTAACAGGTGAACCACAATCATAATCTGATATGATTTACCATCTTTATCGATTTCTTTACTTTGATTGATTGTTCAAAATCGTGGTTAGTTCCTGCTATTACTCTTTAACATCAGCAAAAAAATGTTCAAGAATTAATAAGTAAAAAGAAAAAAGGTTTGTGAATAGCACTGTACAATCTTACATTAGTGCATTGCAGAAGTTTTTCAGCTGCAACCATTTGAACATTCATATTACGCGCTTGAGATTTACCGCGTGTTTTAATCAAACGTTGTAATACTTTTGTTGAACTAATTTTTAAATAAACAGTAATAGGTGCAAGTGAAGTTTTAGCTAATTGACTTGGATGATTAATTGTATCACAGTCTAGTACAACAAGTTGTTGTGTCCGCGCTAAATCGAATATACGTTCAATTTCCTGTTGAACCTCTTTAGTTAATAGGAAACAAAAGGAAAATACGTTAAGAATATTATTTGATACAAAATTATGCATTATAAAATAAAATAATATCATACAGATACATTAATTAGATAGCAAAATTCATTCACTGTTAATAAACTAAATGTATGGTGTACTGGTTAACATATTATTGAATTTCGAGTGGGACATAGTATCTCAGAGACACATTTCTATGCCAGCTAATCCTCTACAATCACATTCAACTAACTCCACGACAGACCAGAAGATTTATTCTCCATGTCACCCTCAGGTGTTCAACTCATCACTTTCCATTCAAGTCCCACTCGAGGGCCTGGCTGGTGTGTAACGTCACTAATAGGTCTTAATCAGTGCTTATTTTCAATCTATCTTCATTTCATTTTGCATACTTATTAGGCAATAGGTTGTTGACTGGTACACTACCAAATCTACTTGTTGCTTATCCTTTCTGGCTGGCTAACTAACCTCCAATATCCAGAGAAAGCAGTTGTTGACGAAAGTCTCCAGAAGGCTATTGACACGTAGGAAGTCTCAGCAACATACAAAAGTAGTGTCTCGAAATTAGTGTTAAAAATCCGTTTAGTGTTCTCATTGACGAGCGATGCAGATCTTCACACCGATTTGAGAATAATGACCGCCAATCTTTGTTTTCCGATCCTGACTATCTGTGACACTGTCACCTATAGCACCACCTGTAGTTGGAATGATGCTGTCCAGTTCAGGTAAGTGGATCAGATGAGTTTATTTATATTTCTGCCGTTGATGTTGATTAGTGTTTGGTGTTGTTAGTGTTGATCGCCGAGTATTCTCATCACCTCTGTCTTTTCTATGTTTTGTCTTCACTGTCCCTTCTGCCACATTTATGACTTTCCCTTGAGCAATTTTGAGTTTGTGTATCATGGGACATAAACCAGCCGTCAAATCCATATCTCCTAGGTCATTCTTGTTAGTTCAAACAAATTATTATCATTTTATTCCACCTGATGGGGAGAGTGGGAAGACAATTTTGTAAAATTCCTGTTTCCATTCATATCATCCACAAATGTTGGTGCAGGTTTTTATGTGATAAATTAAAGCAAATCCTTGTGTTTTAATAAGGTCTCTTTAACACCTTTCATTACAATTTCTATGATTCATTGTAGTACATACACACTGGTTTATGATAGTCTGTAGTTCAGATTTTTTATGACTTCTGACAATTCAGGGCAATTTCGAAAAATTTACAAATCGTAATGATGCAGAAATTGAAGAGTTCATCAAATTTTCGTGTAACTCTTTAGTTGAATACACTATATATAGGGAGATATGTAACTAATAAATAGACTAAAATGAATCAATCATGGTTAACTGAAAGATGATAGTGTTTAACAGACCAAATTCAGATAGACAGGGATCGAAGGGATATGAGAGACTGAAAGTGAAGATTATAAGGAATTACAATCCAATTAGGTGACTGTAGTAGATAATTATTTATCAGAGAAAGAAAATCTGGAAATAATACAAATCCCAAAATTTATTAATAATAATAATAACAATAGTGGTTAAGTGAACAAAGATAATGTTACTGACAAATGAATATTATTCTCATCATATTCATTCCTTGCATCCTGAGTGGAACATACGGATTCGGGTACTGATAAAAGATAGTTTTGATTAAACATGGGATTTCAAAAGCACACCTCCATTTTGGCCTGTTCTCTGCAGGCCTCCTCCTCTGGCTTCACGATTCTCCGTAAGCTTTCATCTCCTCACCACACGATCTCCTCCATTTCACCCTAACACCCATCCCAATTCATCGTTCCCCGTTCGGGTTCCACTCGAGTGATGGCCTGGCACGCAGTTCGCCCAACAGTCTCTTCAGCGTGCGTCAGATTCATCTCCATTTTATTCAGCATATTTGTTGACTGGTTCGTTTCTACGGCTTTTCGCTGCTAATTCTCCCCAGCCATCTGATTTTCAGTATGGAGAGAAAACTACTGCTGATAAAAGTCTGCCATAACCTGTTGGAAATTCTTTACGTGAGGCGCCAAGTTTCAAGTTCAGCGGTTAGGACTCTCACCGGCCATGCATATGTTCCGGGGTTCGATCCCCTGCGGAAGCACACCTGATATCACTGGTCGGCCTGCAAAATTTGGGCTACCGATATGCCATGCTGAAAATTCCATACTTGTACCAAAATACTGTGTGGAATCAAGCCATAATCAAAATAAATTTTTAAAAAATAGAAGAAATGACGAAATTAACATTCATGCTGAAAATCCAAATTTCCAATAGAAAAGTAATAATAATAAAAAAAGTCGGGATAAAATAGAGTAAAATATACTATCATGGCAGGTTCAACGTTGATTACTGTTTTGTTTCGGTATGCAGAAACTAGGTTTACAGACCCTGGTGGTACAAGCCATTTGTAATTACAAGGATCTTTCTGTTTGTTCTTCTGTCTGTCATTTGTTTAGTCATTCTTACTAACATGTCATACAAACTCTCCATAAAACTTGATACTTTGATACAATAGCACATATACACATCCATCACCAGCTTAATTTGGAATATTATCCAATGAAGTGCCTAATAAACTTTGGGATACTTTATACCTCACCTGTAACTGAAAATCAATAACTAACATTTAAAATACAGCTTCATTAGATAAACTATACCACAGTATTTGCTGTTCAATTATATAAGGTGTAATAAGTAGACACATACACAGAAGGTAATCGAGACATCACATCAGGTGTCATCACACCCTAAGCAGACAGTCATCTACAACCCCAATAGGAAGAGATGGGTTGGGCGTGGTGTTCCAAGGGTGAAGTGAAGGCTTGTCGGCAGTCAACAAAATATCTGAAAGTGTAAATAGAGAACCCAAGTGATATGAAGATGTGCCACTTAAGTCCTATATTCTATTCCTATTCTCTACGTACCGTCATTGAACAAAGCATAGAATGGCAGTCAAACCTCTACCTCAACTTCATCGACTTCGAAAAGGCCTTCGACAGCGTTGACCGAGAAGTAATTTGGAAACTACTTCAGCACTACAGCGTGCAGTGATCAAGTCTTTATCAATCTCATTCAACAGCTGGCTATATGACAATGCCACGTGTCAGGTGATCCACAACGGAAAACTCAGCGAGGCGTTCGAAGTGCATACAGGAGTAAGACAAGGCTGCCTGCCTATTATCACCAACGATTATATTCTTAATTGTGGTGGACTGGATTATGAGGAAGACTGTGCGTTTGAAGCGAGGAGTCAGGAATACGCTGGACGACCGATAAGAAGACTCTAGAAGGTCTGGATTTAACAAATGATATATGTCTAATGTCACACAAACTCGAAGACTTAGCAGGCGAAAACCAACAAACTGGCAGAAGAAGCTGGCAGCGAAGACAGGACTGCAGGTGAACATAGAGAAGACGGAGGTGATGAAAATAACCAATGAACAGCAGCAACAACAACAACCGGCAGTAATCACCGTCAACGGGAGAGATTTAACAGAGGTTGCTTCCTACACTTATCTATGAAACATCATTTCAACTTTAGGCGGAACGGATGAAGATGTCAAAGCTAGCCACAATCGGAAAGGCAAGATATGCCTTCATCAACCTGAAGCCAGTTTGGAAATCTTCTGCACTGCACTCAGCCAGCATAAGGAACAAGATTTGGATTTTCAACACCAATGTGAAGTCGGTCCTTCTATACGGGTCAGAAACTTGGTGTGTAACGAAAAGGATTTCCAACAGGTTGCAGACTTTCATCAACAGCTGCCTTCACTGACTCCATACTGAAGATCAAACGGCCAGCCAGAAAGAATTAGTAACAAGAAGCTCTGCAGTGGAACAAACCAACCAAGAGCCGATTACTCAACAAATATGTAGGAGAAAATGGAGATGGATTGAGCATACATTGAGGAAACCATCGAATGACATCGCGCTCAATGCAGGCCATCGCTCGAGTGAAATCCAAATGGGAAGCGACGAGTGGGTCGTCACTTCGAGGGTGACATGGAGGAGATCGTGTGAGGAGGAGGAGATGAGAGATTATGGTCAATCGTGGACCCAGATGAAGAGGACAGCAGAAAACAGAACAAAGTGGAGATGTGTTGTTGAAGCCCTATTTTCCACTGGGAACCCAAAGGAACAATAATAATAATATAATGAAGTAATTTCAAAAGTGTATCTATTCACACTTCGATACAAGATAGCTGTAAAAGGGGTAAGTGTTCATTTCAGACTTCCTTATAAATATTGATTAAATAACTTACCAAGTGACTGATTTCTTGCAGAAGACTTGTCTATAATAGCTCTTCTTGTCGGATTATTCAGTAAAGATCTTTTAGCCAGAGAGATGTCTGCTGTCACTCTTGTTATGATAATTCTGTAGAAGAATAAATATAGAAAAGTGATGATGATGATAATAACTTCATTTCGAAAATAAAGGACACTTAGGATGAATTTATTGTTTCAGTACATGCCAATCATGACAGTTATATGCTAAAAAATGTTTAGATCTTGGACACTGGGGTGTTACGTAATTTCCTATCAATTCGTTTATTAGATATATCACACATTGGAAAAGTATTATTTGCTAGATGACGTTTCGAACACAATTTATAATTCATAATCATATCGACTATAGCCTCACAACTTCGAAATTTGATCTTTATAGTTCTTGTCCTTCTTTCACATTTATCATAAAAGGCAACAGAATTTCGCAGATGTGCGGGAGAGTTGTTAAGTCACTCCTATTGAGCATGTCCTCAGTCAGTTAAATAAATACAGCTACAGTAATGAATCAATCAATGACAATTAAGCACGATTCTTAGCAAAGCAGGGATAAAAGTCGTATTCAAACCCACAAACTAACTTAGAAGTAAACTATGTCGGTTAAAGAATCCTGTGGAGTTCATTAAACAAAATAATTTAGTTTATCTAACATCCTGTAATGATTGTGAGGTCGATTACATAGTTCAAAGCCTTAGGCGAGGGTCAAATAGATTCATGGAGCACAAAACCCCAGGGAAATCTAAATTAGTTTGAGGATTTCATCATGAGCTGATACCAGTTAGAGAACCATTGGGAAACCTGGCAGTACTGGGCAGCTGTTTCGTCCTAGATTGGGACTCTTCATCAGTACACACCCACCGGGGTTCGAACCCAGGACCTTTCGGTTACAAGACGAGCTCGTAGACCACTAAGCCACTGGGACCCTATCCAGTGACCCATGAATTCTAACTTCTACCAATTCACGACATAGCGTGACCACTAGCCAATGTCATCGGCGAGTATTTGTCCTCATACACGACCTGTTAGACCCCAGTGTTAACGACTTCTCACTAGAACTCCAAGCAACTTCATCCTGTAGTCAGTTGCTAGTGAGTATCAGATTAATTTTCAAGTGTTATTTTGTAGCGATATGATTGTTTTCAATTTTGATCACAGGTTGATATTGTAACAACAGAAGACAAGGGCCAGGCAACAGATCCTTTATTAAGGAAATCAACACATATTTATAGATTTTCATGTACATTATTATAGATTATTGTTAGCACAAAAACACAGACTTCTGATTGGTTGTTTCTCACTTAAAGTTAATCTTTCATCTCTTTGTGGCTGTTTCTTGAATGTCAGATCATCTATATGCTAACTATCCGCCTACGCAAAGTCTGCTGTGGTTGGTTGTTGAATCAGTCTTTGTTCATATTTTTCTCACGACCAATATTGAGGACGTAAACATTGACGTAAATTACTGTCTACCGATTTGGCTAGCAGCCAGCTCTCACCACAACATCAGTTAGGAAACCACTGAAAACCAGGAGTACTGGACAGCTTATACTTGCTCAACGCATATTTTTAACTATCCTTTATATGCGCGTTGTCTATAACAGGTATCCGTTCTGAATATACTGGGGGAAATAAATTACAGTATTCAGGTAAACTATAACATTGTTATCATTACTTTGACAAAATGATAATAGAATTATGGCCCACTTAACTTTGAAGACAACCTAGTCCCAAATTCATATCAAACTTCAACTTCTAGTGAGCTTTGGTCTCCAGTATACAGTACCATGCCATGCTTTATATGTCTGACGCCAAATTAAATGAGGTGAACTCACAATATGTTTTTTCTGCATATATCACTTATTTATTAACAATTTTCTAGTGCTACATGTAATCTCATTGTTTATGTACCTCAGTATCTTGTTACTACCTTTGCTACCCTCTTCTTTCCGAGAAACTTCAATCGCATTGAGTATATAATTATAACTGAATAAAAATGCTCATTATAATTTTTTCAAAAGAATGGATACTGAACAAATAGTACTCTTTTCGATAACTTTATCATCAGGCTCTACATAACAGTGAATGAACGAATTGGTGTTATGAACAACAAAAGAATGGAAGGAAAATACCTACTAACGGTCTTCAAAAAGAATGATTATCCACAAAATTTCAACAAAAAGTGTTTAAACTCGATTCATAACACCAACAAGGAACCATCATCAAAGAAAACAAGAAAATTCATCCTACCATATATAAAAAATATCTCTGAAATAACAGCTAGAACATTGAAAGCGTTTGAAATAGATATATCATGCAAGGCACTCAAATCACTTAATTCGATATTATGCAACTCGGGAGATCCAACAGAAAAAGGAGATAAAATTAATACTATTTACAAAATAAATTGTATGAACTGTAACAGACATTACATCGGCCAAAGTAGGCGTCCCTTTCGAATCAGAATCCAGGAACACAAATCAGCCGTGAAAAGACACGATATATATTCTTTTATGTCAGTACATATAGACAATTATGGACATCAGTTTGATTGGGATAATGTCGAAATCTTAGACAGAGGAAACACCAAAAGTGCCAGGGAATTCCTAGAAGCCTGGTACTCAAACGAATATGCGATTAACAAACATGTTAATATAGACCAAATATACCAACTAATAAAAAGTAAATCATGTGACGAGAAAGTTTAAAATCTAAGTCAATAGAAAATGATCAATACATATGTAAAGATGGTTACCGGGAGACGCAATTATATCACTCATGGAAAAGATTTAAATCAGTTCACTTTATGCTAAAACTTGCGCTACAGATGTTGTCCAGAAGGACGACGAAAGCTCCGCAACTAAACCAACCAGCTCAGAGAACACTACATCTGAGCTGCAAATCTTCTCTATTATTTCAAAGACTGAAACCTTTTATCTTTACTAATTTTACCAGCCACAATAAGGTTGAGTAAAAGTAGAGGGGTATTTTAATAAAATCGAATCAATAATATTGATAGATTAAAGCTCAATAGCATCAACATAAAATAAGCTGAATGTCAGAAAAATTAGGAAAGATAATATTACAAATTCATGAATTTATAGTCTCTACTGAAGGCCAGGGCAGTAGTAGGGGCTGGACTTGCTTCTTTTGAACACAGAGCACTGGTTGTTTGAGGCGAATTGCAATAGCCGCTACTTCGATGATTTTAGCAATTTATTAGGCACCCGGTAGATGATAGAGAAGGATTCTTCCACACTGGCCTTGTGGCCGGTTTGGACCAGATAGTCCAATATCGAAATGGTAATGGTTTTCACTACACTTTTACTTAGCCATAGTGAGAGACGTTCTCGAGCATGAAAAATCAAGTTCCTAAAGCAATGGCCGATATAAATCGTTCCACAAGCGCGGTTGAATTTTTAGATACAGTTGGAATTGGCTAGTCTAGGTTCTTCATCTTTCAATCGAGGAATCACCATCGGTTGTGTAGAGAATAAGACGCATAGTTCTCCAGCATTAAAAGTTCTTTGAACTGATTTTCCTAATTTCTTCGTAATTATCTCACTTGAGTTGCAGTAGTATATAAAGAGGCTTCTTGTTTACGGATAGTAAACTGCACCAACATTTAGATTCATCTACGTATACCATGATGATACTTAATTACTTTTTGACTGTTTCTTCTTCCAAAGCAGCTGACTGACTACTAACTATTTCTCAAAAATTCAAAAAGATGAAATATACGCAAAATTTACAATATCAAGGAGAAAATTACCTTCCTTCAAAACGTCGTTTTAGAAAGTCGAATAAAGCTTTCTGCATCATATCAGTCACTTCATAGCCTTTTAATGATGGACCAATTAAAACAACAGGACGCATAGATGGTACAACATCGTATGGAGGTAAATTGTCACTCTAAAATGAAAAAGATACATATATATGAGAAAGGTTGATAGAATATTGTACAGATATGTTGATTGGTGTTGACTAGAATGCACATTTCCTCCTATTTGGGACTCTTCATCTGGATGTACCTGCGCCCCCGTAGTGAGTAGTGGCGTTCCCACTGGAACCCGAAACCATGTCCAGCCTAAGAGTTTCAAATAGGAGGAAATTAACATCCCCATCAGCCAAAATAACTTCACGTTAATCCTAAGACATCGTCAAAGTATCCATGGGAGGAGCCGGCTCATATCAACCGAGGCTGGGCATTTCTGTCTAATAATATTGTCAATCAATTAACGGGGAATGTAAATAAACTTAACCTAAACAATCTAAAGTTAGCAATGGGACAAAAGGAAACAAAATCGAAGACGTGTAAACAGCTACGTTCACCGAAAGTTCTAATTCTCTCTGTATTTCACTATACAAAAAGATTTTTTTGTAATTCCCCGGTCAAATTTTGTTTTAATCTATCAGATCTGTTTAGACGATTTAAGGTTTATTCTATGTGAAGTGCTTCTGTGATGAAACATTCTTAGGAGTTTTTCAAATTTTCCTGAATAATTCTATTATTATTGTGGATTTTTTCCAAGAAATCCAGAGATAAAATGGGGACCGATTAATTAAACCAAACATCTGAGTAATGCGTAAAATCCGAAACGCGGGATTTGTCCAAAACAGGATACTATATTACACATAAATGTAATAATCGAATATACAAACTTCAAATTGTTACATGTCATCTATGGTGTGTGTCGTCAAACAAACTGTCACTATACGTCAATAAGTAAAACGAAACAGCAAAGCTGTGTCAAAGGTGATCCGCAGTCAGAACCAAACGATGCGCGAATAAAGAGATTCCAAAAAAAAGTGTTCAACACAGAGAGGAACATAAAGGAAGAAATGTAGGGCGAACACCATTTAGCCATAGGAAGATAATTAAAGTGTTTATACGATAAGTGAGACAAATTCCAATGTAAATCAGTAACTATGGTCACGGAGAGACGATATGATAAACAAAATATTATTCATACTACTTACTAGTAATAAGTAGTATAAAGTTGAACACAAATAAGACATTGAAATAGGGTGAGAGAAGGGAGTTAACAACTATCAACATCAGTGTAGTGTGTGAACTTATGACCGAGTAGTTTGTAACTGTGTCTAGTTCCATTGGATCTCTAGTTGGTGGAATAGATTCCCTACATTGTTCATTTTTTATGACGTTGACTTCAAGAGAGGTTCGTTTGATATTCTTGCATCACATCCTAAGCATTTTATTTTATAAACACAGTTAGTTAGACTGTGAAACTTTTCGGAATTCGGTCTTTCATATGAACAAGATTGTTTTTAAGTGTGTCTGGTGTTTTGCATTTATTGAGTAATCTTCAGATATCATATGACGTAAGGAATAAAAATTGTTGTGGCCCACGTTTTCGGTCATGTTTAATGTTGTTGGTGTTGATTTTGTGAACACAATTCCTCGGATAGTTATTTTGAAATACAAATCTTTTTATAACAAAAAAAGTCATATATCCAATGGACAAATATATATATATGCAAATTATTAAATCTGTACTTGATTTGGATATATATAGATAGGATAATGTTTCGCGTCAATTTCGTATAGGCATAGACAACAGAAAACACAAGTTCTCGGAATAATGTCAACAGAATACAATCTCTCCGTTCCTTTGCACATTTATATATTTACTGTTAACACATTTCTCACTGATAAAAGAAAATCATAAAGAATAAGGATAATTTGGCAGTTTGTATTCATAGCTCAGTAAAAACGTTTCTGACTGAAGCAATGGGTAACCGGCGTTCGAAATTCAGAAAGGATACGAATACCTAAGTGATTGCAGATACGCCTTGCTAACTGGTGAGTGCCAGCGAGCACGAAACCTAGGTCCAAGGCTTCCTACCGATGTCCTCCATCCATCTAATGATAACAATTTAGAGAGCATTGTGACGGCCAGCCACGTAGGATAATGGTTACACTGGAAACTTGACTGACAGAATTAAGTTTGCAGTGAACGAAAGACTACACGCGTGACATCAGTCACTAACCAGTACCCAATCAAAGTAAACTTGTATTCGTTGGAGTATTCTTTAAAACATTAGACAAACTAAAAAGTCAGCTACTTAGTTCATCTGAAAGATAAAATTCCAAAAAATCCACGATCTAAGTGTATCTGTTCAATAAAATGCTTAGAATATGCTACAATATACAGCAGATAAACTCTTTAGAGAAATCAGAGTCAAAAGAAACGAACACCATATAGCCACTATTCAACCACAGAAAAATCCAGTGAGACCAGTAAAATTTGGAAACTCCTTGACCATGGGTCACAAGATTTATTTTGACAACACTGAAATTATTCAGAAAAAAAAATCAAAAATCAAAACCACGTTTCATAACAGAAGCACTTCATGTAACATGGAAGTCAAATTGTTTGAACGATAATGACAGATTCAGACAAACTTTGATCTGCGTCTAACACTCCTCCTCTTACAAACTGCCAAAGTTAACCCAAATATAATGAGCGATTCGCAGTGAGTAAACACACGCTGTTTCAATAATGGATTATTACTATTCCCTTGGGTTCCGAGAGGAAAATAGGGCTTCAACAACACATCGCCACTTTGTTCTGTTTTCTGCCATCCTCTTCAGCTGGGTCCACGATTGACCATAATCTCTCATCTCCTATTTGCACGATCCCTTCCATGTCACCCTCGAAGTGACGACCTACTCGTCGCTTCCCATTTGGATTCCACTCGAGCAATGGCCTGCATTGAGCGCGATGTCTTTCGATGGTTTCCTCAATGCATGCCCGGTCCATAATAATAATAATTAATACACTAATCAAATCCACCAATCTGTGCATTTTTGTCATCTTCACCAATTCATCCAACTGACAACGTAGAATCACCTCTTAGATAAGAACTAGGATTGAGTTATCATACATAACCTCAGATTTCGTAGATTCCTACGTGATATGACCTTGATAAAGGCTATTGGCAGAGTTAAATAGCTAAACGTCAGTAAATATGATATGGTTTTATTTTTCATTCATTGAGAAATACAATACATCATATATCTACTGTTCAAATTTCTTTCCAAAGTATTAAATCTGAACTTGATTCCGACATTTATAGCTAAAATAAAGTTTTATAAAACATAATCCTTTGTCTAAAATTGATTCCTTAATCTGATCTGATTATTTCGGTACATGAAAAGAAGAAGAAGAGGAATAAGCGAAAATAGACGAATGAAATTTGAGCGAATTTTCTTCTTCTTCATATTATTTCGTTTCAAAGCTTAAATATTATCCCCAGCGTGTTTAAACATCGACAGACAACTATAGGTTCTAATTCAGCACACATATACACAAATACCCTCAAAAACAAGTACTCATACAACTAAATTGTAGCTTGCACTATGAATAGTTGTCCGAAAAGTATAAGCAACAAGGAACTCTGACAGGCAGTTGACCAGACAACAACTTATGACTGGTCTAACAAATATGCACTAGGAAGTGGAGATGGATTTGATATACACTGAGGAGATCTTCCAAGCAGACCCTAGAATGACACTCGAATAGTAAGTGACAAGTTGGGCGTGCTTTCGAGATTGGTGTGAAGGAGAATTAAAAGCTTGTAGAGTTGATTAGAAGTGATGTTAGTGGACTGAATGGAATGGAGATACACCACTGAAGTAAGTTAACAAATGACATAGTAAGTCAGTTATGAATTAGCAAGTTCGATTATATGGTTTCTACCGAATACACTGCATGATAACATTAAGTTTTTTCGGCAATAATTTGAACCAACTACACTTAGGTTAGTAATATTTAAAGTTGAATAGCTATTGAATAAAAAATGTAAATACAGGTTTGCATCGCCCAATCAGTTATTTTTTTGTATATGAACTTCCTAATTCCTTTGTTAGTATTAACTTTGTGTTCAACTTTATACTACTTATCAGTAATCAGCAGTATAGGTTTTCATTTTGCTAACTACGTCGCCACTCCGTAACCAAAACTACTTATGATATTTAATGTTCAAATATTCTATTCGATATGCATTAATTATCTTCTTACAGTTAAACGGTGTCTGATGTACATGTTTCACCTCTATTCTGCTCTTTGTTGAACATTGTTCATTCTAATCTTCTGATTCTTTATCTGGACATTCCTACGCTGTTTAATCTGGCCGTGAATTGCCCTTGAGACAGCTCTGCTGTTACTTCTTATCAAGTACAGTGACAGTGTATTCATCCTTAGACACCTGGAAATTTCAGGTTTGTGTATATTAGATACATTATTTTATAAATAATACAGCACCGTACTTTAAACGAATCCCCTGTTTTTGAATTTTACGCGTAACTTAGAAGTTTAGTTTAATCAATCGATCGTAATTATTTTGCTCTGGATTTCTAGAAGGAAATCTCCAGGGTTGTTGTATGAATGCCTTGATATTGCATGAAGTAACATTTTGACTGCCTATCTCGTTGTGGTTAGCAATGAAATCCAAAACAGATTTATTTTTTTTCTAAGCAGAGTGTGTGATGGAATCGAAACTAATTAGAAAGACCAAAACTCACAGAGATACTAAATACATGTCCTTTATTCCACTTCTCACCACAACGAGATCAATAAAAGTAACTACTAGTTGATCTAAAAGCTTTTTTCAAAAAATTTAAGTACCCAAAGAAAATTCATGAGTGAAAGTGGAAATAAAGTATAATTATATTTCAATGGTTTACACACACAATGATAAGTTTTGTTATTGGCAATATTTCGAGCAAAAATTACCAATAAAAAAACTTATCATTGTGTGTAAACTATTGAAATTTAATTATGCTTTATTTGATCTATTCCACAATGCTCAAACTTTTTACTGACATAAATGAAAGTGAAACGTTTAACTGATAGTGACCAGCAGTGGAATCCTGGGTGCGTTTTGTC